GTGCGACGGAATCTCCAACCCAGTGTCCGGGTTTTGTAGAGGAACAGCAGGGTGTGTGCCCAGGTGCACACAGCCCTTATAAAATGGAGGTTTAAGAATACCTCAGGGCTCTACCCAAGAGAGACAAAGTCTCCTACAGGAGTCAGAGAGGTTGCATGTGGCAGCCGAAGTATGAAGGTCTGTAAGAGACAGTTAATGGCCTGAGGACCTGGCCAGAGGAGTCGGGTGGGCTCTAAGCTGTGTACCTGAAAGATCTGGTGGTCAGAAGAACCAGTAACTATAGCAGCAGTGCTGCTGAAGAGTAGCCAGGTGGGCTAGTATTTTCATTTGGACTGTGTATTTTACAGGAGAAGAACCCCTGCGTGGGAAAACTTATGTTAGACTTTTGTTTTGCCTTTCCTTTTAATAAAAGTGGGCTGCCAAGCCCTGAAAATAGTTCCTGGCTGGCGTAAACTCACTTGAAAAATGCATCTACCACTGAGCTAGACATCCCCAAATGTTACAAGTGGTAGAGGGTGCGGGCAGAAGGCGGTGGAATCCAGGTCCTTGCTCCACAGTGAGTTTGAATGTCAGGAACGGTTTGTCTGTGGAAGTGCAGCCAGGCAATAAGCATTGTGTGCTGGTGGGGTACCTGTGAGAGAAGTAAAAAAAAAAAAAAAAATGTTTTTCTGCTGTGAACTGTGTAACAAGCTGCTGTGTGCGTGACTGCAAGGATGGGGTGGGCAAAGCAGAAAGGATGTAATCCTTGCTGAAGCAAGGAAAAGGCTACAATGGCTAGGAGGGTTATATACCATATGCCCCAGACAAGCCAGAAAATTCAAAAGGTGTGAACTAGCTGTGGACTGATCCAAACTGATCTTCACAGGGAAAGTGAAAGACCGTGTCCCCAGCAACATAAATCCAGGAGTGCCACAGCATGAGGCAAGAAGTTCTGTGCGCTGCATGTGTTGTAGTGAATGGGGACATGCATTTGCCCAGCATCCTTTATCACAGGAAGGTCTGTATAGTAACCAAGCTGGATGAAAGGTTGATAAATACTGGAGCTTATCTGCCAAAGAATGTGACAAGTGGTGTCTCAGAGAGGGATCAAGGCATCCAGAGTAGCCAGCGAAAGAGAGCATGTGACAGAGCTGTATCCCATGGTGGTGGAGAAAAGCCAGCGTGTTTTTAAAGAGTCCAGAGCTTGAGTTACCCCCTAGAACCCGGGAGCACATTTTTCTTGCAGAGGGTGCTGGAGTGTCAAGTGCTGCAGTGGATGAGCTCCTCCACATTTCTGACAAGGAAAAGGTCCGGAAAGAGGTCACACATTTAGACGTGGAATGTATAGAGATGACAGAAACTTTATTAGACATGCTAGAGTTGGTAGGCAAGCAAATGTACTGTACACTTGGGTGTCTCCACCGCAGTTGGACAAGGTGGTACTGCAGGGTACCAATAGGTGGAGCCAGGTAGTACAGGCTGTGCTGGGTAATGTTGATCAAGTGTGGAAATGGTTGATCCAATGCCTATTACCTGTGTGGAAAGTGATCTCACAGTCCCTTATGGGGGGTGCTTCCAGTCACTGGTTTGGATGGAAGGCGCTTAGGAGAACTGCTGGAGATATTGGAAGTCTCTCCACCTGTTGCTATGATGGATACATCTGCTAGCGCGGTCCGAGGTGCGGCTGAGCAAAGGTTAATAAAATGGCACAGATACTGCCTCGCCCGCTAGACCTCATAAGAAGGAAGGGCCCGACATAGACGTGGCTAAAGCAGAGATTATGTCTGTCTCCTGCAAAGAGGTACCAGTTGATGTACCCAGAGACACTCGGAAATACAATACTGATGACATCAGAAATGACATTAAAAAGTGTGATCTGTCAAAGATTAGTACTAATAACAATGGGTTTAGTGACTGTGATGGTATACTTAATAAACCAGTGGGAAATAAAGTATTAAGCAATGGTTTATGTATTGATCAGTGTCAGTTAGGCCAACTGGCCACGGAGCTTTGGCCAACAGGCAAAGTGAAGCCTTGCAAAGGTTCTGCAGGGAATAATTGCTCACCTGTGTGTGGTCCATCCTTGGCCTTAGCAAACACAAAGAGAGAGAGAGAGACTGACGGGGTTGGTATTTAAGGACAAGGCGATTTATTGCCAGAGGCCACTGTAAATAATGGCATTGATGATATGGAGATTAATAAATCATTGGTAAATGAGCGTGATAAACAGTGGTTGATCTCTCGTAATTTAGTGGTCAAGGGCAACCACAAAAGGTTGTTGGACCCACAAGACTGAGTGTGTTGGTTCAAACTGGTGTAAATGAGGGGAAAAAGTAATTCTTCATGAAGGACAGGGAGTTGGGGAGAGGTGTTAGAAAATGCAAAGGACCTTGCAAAAAGATTGTTAAGCCAAGGATCCCCACAGTGAGGCTGACTATAGTAAAAAGTAGGAAACTGCTGAGATTCAGGCTAGGGCATGCCTGGAAATGCACCGAAAAAAAGATTAGGCATACGCAGCTAATAGCTGGCACAGGGGTGCCCCAATCAAGAATTCAAGCTGCTGTTTTCCACCCCCTACTGGGTTGAAACAAGGGGGAGGATGTCACAGGAGGAGACTGTCACTGTGAAAATTTGTCAGTTAAAGGACACAGGGTGTGCACATTGGCTGAGTGCAAGACTACGGAGTATAGCTGTTGAGTGGAGAAAACCTCTTTTTGAAGCTTTATCCAGGTTTTGGTATTCCTGGAAGTGGCTCCGTAGTTTGAGATTCCATAGCATCTTGGGTGGGACAGAATCTCCAACCCATTGTCTGCGTTTTGTGGAGAACAGCAGGGTGTGTGCCCAGGTGCACACAGGCCTTATAATAGAGGTTTAGGAATACCTCAGGGCTTCACCCAAGACAGACAGGTGGTCTCCTACAGGAGTCAGAGAGCCTGCATGTGGCAGCTGAAGTATGAAGGTCTGTAAGAGACAGTTAATAGCCCGAGGACTTGGCCAGAGAAGTCCTGTGGTCTCCAAGCTTTGTACCTGAAAGAGCTGGTGGTCAGAAGGACCAGTAACTATAGCAGCAGTGCTGCTGAAGAGTAGCCAGGTGGGCTAGTATTTTCATTTGGACTTTGTGTATTTTACTGGAGAAGAACCCCTGCGTGAGAAAACTTATGTTGGACTTTTGTTTTGCCTTTCCTTTTAATAAAAATGGGCTACCAAGCCCTGAAAATAGTTCCTGGCTGGTGTGAACTCACTTGAAAACACATCTACCACTGAGCTAGACATCCCCAAATGTTACAGTATGCTATGCAATAGAGTTTACAAGAGCGAGGGAGGTTGAGGTCTACAAAAAAGGTGGTTTTGGGTCAATATATACCCTTATACCAACACATTTTTCCTCCTCTGGACCACGTTCAGATACTACTTCTCTGGCTTGGACAAGTGTGGCTATATGACATTCATCTCTGTCTACAAACAAGTCCGTAAAGCGGAATTACACCCGATATCAACTTTAGTACAAAGTGTATTGGGACTAATTTGGCTCATCTATGATATGCTATGGGACCCAGAGATTCAGGAATTCAAGCGATATACATCTTTGTGTATAAGATTGACTGGGGGGGGGGGGGGTTAGCTTGTCCAACATGCTGTGCATTTATTAAAATCTTGCGTCTATCCTTATCTGTCCTCTATGGCTGTCCCTTTTTTTTTGGTATTTAATTGGTCAAGTATGAAGATATGACAAATTACACATACTGTATATTATTTGGATTAAAGATGTCCAATTGATCTTGAGACGTGACCTTGACACTTTTTAATGAATGTACCTATGTGTTTAATTTTGATACACGACTCAAGAAAATTTGGGTTGAGGTGTTGAGCTAAATCCATATGCTTTTTATGCAAGAATTTTTTGGAGAATAAATTTTGGCCTGAATTTAATGAAAATTTTATTTTTAATGGTTATGTTTTATAACAGTGGAAAATATAATTATTTATAAAAATGTTGGCCTTTCGTTTATATTGCATAAAATAATAAACCCAGTGGTGATTACATACTACCAAAAGCTCTATTTGTGTGAAAAAAAAATGCAAAAAAATTTGACTTGTGTACAGTGTTGCATGGTAGAGCAATTGCCAGTTAAAGTAGTGCAGTACTGAATAGAGAGAAAAAAAAAAAGCCCTGGCCACGAAGAGGGTAAAATCTTCCCAGAGTAGTGTTTCTTAACCTTTTTGCAGTCATTATGGAATTATGCACAATCTTGAGGCACCCCTTTCTAAAAAGGAAACTAATTGTTTTATAAAATGCAGCAACAGCCACACAAGTAGGACACCCACCATTAGAGATATGTTCTTTCAAAGCAAATACATCAAAGCATAGGAGGGGCAAACAACAAGCTGTGCATTAGCTAGACATCCTCCTTATCAACTGACGACATCATTGGGTGTTAGAACACTGGTGGTTAGAAGGTTGTAATGGTGCACAATGAAAACCTGTGGCTTTGTGCAACTAAAGGCAAGCTTGATCTACCTGCTGGCTGGTATACAATTTTGGGGAAATTTTTTTGGTATTTTTCCAAGGCATCCCAGGGTGCCTGGGCACAGTTTGAAAAAGTCCAAGGTTAAAGTGGTAAAAAACAAAAAAAAAAAACAAAAAAAAAAAAACCTGCAGAAATATATATATATTTTTTTTAATTCTCTCTCATCTGCCCCAATGGCAGTTATTGAATACTGCATTGTGAAAACCACAAAGGCTGCAGCAGGCCCACCAATATTGATGGGGACTGGCAGTGCCAATAAACCTGGCAGGATGAGGAGCTGATCTGTGTATGTCTTCAATAAACCGATTCGATTACCTGAGCTAAAAAACTGAAAAGCACAACTTACAACTGACCTCAGGTATACACAGGAAAAGCTGAGCACTTCTCTTACAGCAAAAACTTACACAGTAATGGGCCAGCCCTCCAAATCATTGGATTCAGGTGTTCCAATCACCTCCATGGCCACAGGTGTATAAAATCAAGCACCTAGGCATGCAGACGGCTTCTACAAACATTTGTGAAAGAATGAGTCACTTTCAGGAGCTCCGTGACTCCAAGCGTGGTACCGCGATAGGTTGCCACCTGTGCAATAAGTCCATCCGTGACATTTCCTTGCTACTAAAATATTCCATTGTCAACTGTTAGTGGAATTATAACAAAATTGAAGCAACTGCGAACAGCAACTCAGCTGCCAAGTGGTAGATCACATAAAAATGACAGACCAGGGTCAGGGTATGCTGAAGTGCGCAGAAGTCGCCAACTGTCTGCAGAATCAACAGCTAAAAGACCTTCAAACATCGTGTGTGGCGTTCAGATTAGCACAACAGTGCGTAGAGAGTGGCCATGGAATGGGTTTCCATGGCCGAACAGCTACATCCAAGCCTTACTTCACCAAGTGTAATGCAAAAGGTGTAAAGCCCACCACACAAAAAAAAAAAAGCCACCTACCATGACACGTATACCTGTGTCATGTTCATATCTCCGTCTCACTTATAATAAGTGAGAATTTATAAACCCAAGATACTTAGCATGAAAAAAATAGCAGTATGACAAGTGTAATACTGCTCACACAGAGTGGTTATTTGAAAATCCAAGCGGAGTAATAACAGTATTTGTTAATTACAAAAAAGCTTTATTCGATCTCATGGATCATAAAGAGGTTAGACATAGACATGGTGAACAAGTCATTAAAAAAAAAAAAAAAAAAAAAAAAAAAAAACACAAAAAATTAAAAAGTATTCGGTGTCTCCAGGTCTAGTTTTTATTCGGCAATCAGGAATCCACATAAAAAGGCAATGAAGTTCCTAACTACATGATCAAAAATTTGCATATGTTTTCCACACGATATCTGAATAGGGAGATCATTCTTCAAAAAAATATTTTTGGTAACCACCACAATAGACGGAATGACTTCCTAAAATGAAAAACCAAAAAGGAGATCATAGTAGGGGGAACATAAACAGGATATATGCACTTATGTCTAGTAACAAAATAACCACATTAATAGGTATATTAATTGTTCCATTACCTTCTCATGAGCTTGACCATCATGAAAGGATGAATATATGACCTTCCTGGGTAGCCACCCCAGATGGAAGTGAATCCACAATAGCAAGCGATTCTAAAGATGTATAAATATAAAACTTGAATAATCAAGCAGCATACCTGAATGAAACTAAAATAGGGGTAAAGAATATATCTATATATTACCATACAGAGGATCAAGGAGACTCCACCTCACTTGAAGATCAGGTCTTGATAAAGAATGATGAATATGGGGGTGGGGAACCAGGTGGTTTATATATAAAGTCCAGACTAGCTGTTACAGTCCATGTGTACTTCAATGTATAAACCCAAAGTCTGGGTTTCCAAAAATTGCTCAAATGCTGAGAAAGTAATGCGGTTCCTTAAAAATATATATGAGACTGATATCACATGCCACAGCACATATACAGCGTGTTATATACGTGTTCCTCCAATAGGAGTTCAAAAACATTCCCCCAGAGAGGGGCTTATAATCACATGGTTTCAAAGTGTGGGGTATACTCCCCGTATACAAATAGCACTAAAGCCTATTTAAGCCAAAAGGCTAGTAACTTGCCACCGGTGGAAGTAGGCTGTGACTCAAAATCGCCATGTGCGGGGCTGCTTAAGATGATGGCCTCATCGTGATTTGAGTGTCTCCTGCCTTTCCAGTGTGGAGATGAAGCAAACCGCTTCTTCCTTCCTCGTGGGCACCGCGCCCTATGGAGACGCCGAACGTAATGATGAGGAACCAGGAGAGCCTGCGGGGGACCGGACAAGAGGATCCAGGCTGCTCTGTGTAAAAAAAAACAGTTACACAGGACATTTTTGTTATTTTACAAAAAAAAAAAAAAAATTATGAACCTTTAGAATCGCTTTAAGGCATCAGCATACCAAGACATTTTCATGCTCCCAACTTTGTGGGAACAGTTTGAGGATGGCCCCTTCCTGTTCCAACATGACTGCACCTGTGCACAAAGCAAGGTCCATAAAGACATGGATGAGCGAGTTTGGGGTGGAGGAACTTGACTGGCCTGCACAGAGACCTTACCTCAAACCAATAGAAACACCTTTGGGATGAATTAGGAGGGGCGGCTGCGAGTCTTCTCGTCTGACATCAGTGCCTGGCCTCACAAATGTGCTTCTGGAAGAATGGTCAAACATTCCCATAGAACTACTCCTAAACCTTGTGGACAGCCTTCCCAGAGGAGTTGAAGCTGTTATGGCTGCAGAGGGTGGGCCAGCTCAATATTGAACCCTACGGACTAAGCCTGGGATGTCACTATAGTGTATCTTGATATGGAGCAGAAAGAAAAGGTCGAATCTCAATCTATGACTCTATGGGGGTTAATTACTAAAACTGAAGAGTGCAAAATCTGGTGCAGCTCTGCATAGAAACCAAATCAGCTTCTGGGTTTTATTGCCAAAGCTTAACTGAACAAGCTGAAGTTAGAAGCCAATTGGCTGCCATGCACAGCAGCACCAGATTCTGAGTGCGCCAGTTTTAGTAAATCTCCCCTTTGACTTGATAAAAAAAAAAAAAAAAACATTTATAATAGATCAACTCATTGGACCTTATTTATATAAAAGGTTTTCGATTTTCTCGATGATATGACTTGTGGGTCAGTCTGATCAGATGGATGTCCTCACCGATATCCCAGACGTAGGAGTTGTAGCTCATCTCTTTGGGGGCGCGCTGAAACTCCAGACAAGAATAAGCCGTGGCCAGCTTCCGGCTACCATGTGGGTGCCAGGAGAGGTAGGTGGCAGTGTGCTTGATTTCACTGAGGTCCCTGTTGGCATAAAAATTATATATTACTAAAACTGAAATTTTACACTGGACCAAAAACACAGACAAGTGTGGCTCTAGTAAAAACACAAAAAAAAACAAAAAAACTCTATAAAAGCAGTTAAGGCCACAACAGATCTGCAAAATATTGACATTTTCAAGCCCTTTCTAGTTTTGTCACTGCCCCTCCCCCCCCAATACTCACATTGCACAGCTGAAGCAGCCATGTGGAAGGGAAGTACTTAAAAATTGCCTCTTCAGAAGTTAGAATATTTATTGGTCATGGAAACACTCAAGAAAACACCAGGATATACACTCACAGGCCACTTTATTAGGTCCACCTGTTCAATTGCTTGGTAACAGAAATTGCTAATCATCCAATCACATGGCAGCAACTCAATGAGTTAAGGCATCTATACGTGGTGAAGACTACTTCAAGTTCAAACAGTATCAGAATGGGTAAGAAAGGCGATTTAAGGGTCTTTGAACGTGGCATGGTTGTTGGTGCCAGACGGACTGGTCTCAGTATTTCAAAAACTGATAATCTACTGGGATTTTCACACACAACCATCTCTAGGGTTTACAGAAAATTGTCCAAAAAAAGAGAAAATATCCAGTGAGCAGCAGTTGTGTGGAGGAAAATACCTTGTTGATGTCAGAGGAGAATGGGCAGACTGGTTGGAGATAATAGAAAGGCAACAATAACTCAAATAACCACTCATTACAACCAAGGTATGCAGAATACAATCTTTGAATGCACAACACGTCCAACCTTGAAGCAAATGGGCTACAGCAGCAGAAAACCACACCAGGTCTACAATTCGCACAGGCTCACCACAATTGGACAACAGAAGATTGAATAAAAAAAAAAAAAAAAAAAAAAAAAAAAAAAAATGTGGCCTGGTCTAATGAGTCTCGATTTCCCTAGAGAAGGTTGTGCGTGAAAATTCCAGTAGATCAGCAGTTTTTGAAACACTCAGCCCAGCCTGTCTGGTACGAACAACCAAGCCACATTCCAAGTCACTTATAACCCCTTTGTTCCCCATTCTGATGCTCAGTTTTAACTTCAGCAAGTCGTCTTCACCACATCTAGATGCCTAAATGCATTGGAGTTGCTGCCATGTGATGGCCGATTAGCAATTTGTTTACTAAGCAATTGAAAAGGTGGACCTGATAAAGGTGTGTGTGAAGGTTGTGTGTGTGTGAAGGTGTGTGTGTGTGAAGGTTGTGTGTGTGTGAAGGTGTGTGTGTGTGTGAAGGTGTGAGTGTGAAGGTGTGAAAGTGTGAGGTGGAGTGTAGTGTGATGTGAGTGTGAGTGTGAGTGTGAGTGTGAGTGTGAGTGTGAGTGTGAGTGTGAGTGTGAGTGTGTGTGATATGTGTGTGTGTGTACAGGGGAGCTCAGACCTCACCTCTACCACCTACTGAGCACTCTGACTTCAGGAGAAACCAAAACCTTGCTTGCCAATGGGTTATGCAGAGGAGCTCAGCTCTCATACCTACTTCCCTATGAGCACCCTCCGACTTCAGGAGAGGGAAGGTGTATGGAGACTAAAGACTTCTTCACCAATGGGTTATGCAGAGGGCTGCGGTTAGAAACCACGGGGCCCCATACAGCCAACCTGAAAAGGTCCCCCTCCCCCCTTAAAACAGTTTACTAGGGTTCAGTTATGAATGAACACAGTGAGCGATCGGTGATCACTCATTGTGTTCATTCAGCAAAAGACAGGGCTTTTAAATATGACTAATTTACCAGACACTTCCCCCACTCTCCATCCTGAATGATCCTCTTGTTTTTGCAGCCTGCGGTTTTTAGTAAATTTACCCCAAGACCTGCAGCACAGAAAAATCAGGTCTCCTTCCCCAACAAACAGGGCTGTGCTAAGTGGCAAAGCTGTGTAAATCTCAGGACTGGATGGACAGAGACAAATCCTGTGTTAGGTAAACAGCCCCCATCTATGTACTCAGCTGTTTGCCTGGAGTTCAGCTTTAACCCTTCCCTATAAAGTGTAACCCTCAGCCTGAGATCCATTAGATGGAGTCTAGGCAATGCTCTGTATGGACACATCAGCCATAGAGCTCTGAGATATGTACATTAGTGTCTGGCATGCTTACATTAGTCTCTATGTAGATTTACCTGAAGACATGGATGGTTTTGGCAGATGGAGCTTCAGCCACCCCCTCCAGTTCCTCCTCTTTCTCCAAGTACGCCTCAAATATTGATGGCGTTTTTCTGCTTGATGCAATGCTCCATCACCTGGGATGAAAAGATAACACGCGCCAGACTGTAAGTCTGTACCTGCGGCTGTGCGTTCTACCACTGAAGAGTGAAATAATTCATAGAGCAGTGACTTCTACAAACCCCATCATACTCCCTGGGGAAACCTCTGAAATTTCCTAAAGCCCAAATCTCCCATATTAACAATACTAACCTTCAATCCGGATCTGCCTTGCAGTACCCTTCCTCTGCCACAAGATGTCTTTAGTCTTCCAGATCAAACGATACCCAGCGTCATTCAACCTAGAACACTGAGGACATACTGTGAGTGCAGAGCCTCATGGACCCACCCCTAAGGTGCCAGGACAAGGTCATCCAGTGCCCAGGGCAAACATGCCAAATTGCACCCCCCAAGATATGAGCATTATAGGTCAGAAAAAAAAAAAAAAAAAAAAAAAAAAAATTTTTTGCATAGAATACCAAAGGAGGTAAAAAGCCTTCAGACTTTACAACCACTTTAACTCTAGGCAGATATAAAAACACAAAATGTGTGGCAGAGCTGTGTAGATCTCAAGACTGGATGGACAAATACAAATCCTCTGGTGGGTAAACCAGCTCCCATATACAGTATAGATTAGGTTTGCCTGGAGTTCCTCTTTAGCCATTTCCTGCTCTATCCAAAATTACAAATCAAAGTTTTGGCTTTAGTGGCCAGTCATACTGGGTGTGACTTGTCATGCGATGCGAGTTTCAAACATTGCATGGCAAATCGCGCCCCATTGTCCGCAATTAAAGCTGTCATATCAGTGCGATTCCGATTTGGTCAGTGTCACACAGATTTTGAAAGTAGTGTGACTTACATAGATATCTGTGTCTTGCAAATCGCACCTTGCTAGACATCCGACTTTGAAGTCGTGTGACTTAACTGGAAGCAGCACGATTTAAAAGTCGTATCAGTGTAACCGGGGACTTAGAGGCACTATAAATCCCAAAGTATAAACCCTGGGCAGCAGTCCCCAGACCTTCCACTAGGGATGACTGTGGCAGTGTGGTACCTCATGCTCAGACATGTCGTGGGCACACTGGATGCTGAGATCGCACGGATTCTGCTCTATGAAGTTTAAGGCTTGGGCGTGGAGCTGGGTGGTCCGAGAAGTTTCACTGGCACCCAAACTCGCTCCACTTCTGTGTGTAGACACTGTCTCCATGGTGGCTGCAAGGAAAAGGGGGGGGGGGGGGGAAAAAAAAAAAAAAAAAAAAAAAAAAAAAAAAAAAGATTTAGGTCGATGTAAACCCAATCACATGCTCAAGTCAAGTCATTGGCAAAGTATTACATCTGCAATAATAACCACCTTCTGCAGGTGGGTGCCGGCCCTTTAAGGGAATCAACACCCGAGGCATTGTGATCACTGTGATTGGCTGCCACAGGGATGAGGTGATTGTCACCCCATTCTGATTGTAAACAGTGAATGGGAGCTGCTGGTCACAATGCTGCAGGCACCAATGGAGCATGCTCCCAGTACAAACCAGTTACATGTGGCTACAGCCAGCAGAATTATTTTCTACTTTGTTATAAAACATTCAATAAAATCAGATTTCTTCATAAACGTAGGCCAAAATCTATTCTGCTCCATGAGGCAAGGGGCTGATGCAGTTTACACTGCGATTTTGGGGAAACCATGTTAAGGACACTATACTATTGGGGACACTAGTATAGTTCTGACTGTGGCCAGGATATGGACCTGGACAAACACACTGTACTGGTGATGGCGCTGATTAGAGATGAGCGAATTATTCAAAAATTCGATTCGGCTGATTCGCCGAATAAATTCGATTCGAGGCGAATATATTCGCTGCGAATTTAACTTATAAAAAGGGTGTTTCTAGGCTTCAGAGAGCCTTTATATTAGTGCAGAACACTGTACCTTTAATTTAAATGCCCTTGGAGTCTGCTGGGGAAGAGAACTAATACGGTCAGTCAGTATGACATGCAGATGAGTGCCGTCGATCTTAGAATCACCGCACACTTCACTCATTTGGGCAGTCACGGGGCCAAAACCAGAGTGTGGAGCCACAGTGTGGCGGTGGAGGCAGCAGCAATGGGAGGCCATACAGCACCCTATGACAAAATGGAACCCACCAGCAGTGTGAGGAGACCTGAAAGTGGCACATGGCAGAGTGTGGCGATGAAGACAGCAGCAATGGGAGGCCGTACAGGGACCCATGACACACTCTGGACCTGGCAGCAGCATGAGGCGGCGGTACAGGGGCCCATGACAGATTACGGGCCTGGCAGCAGCAGTGGGCGGGCGGTGGATGCAGCAGCATTCGGAAGCCAAACACAGGCCTCGGTTAAAAAGCGGAAGCCGTCAGCAGCGTGAGCAGACGACAGACACATGGCGCAGGGTGGCGGTGGAGGCAGCAGCAATGGAAGGCCATACAGCACCCTATCACAAAATGGAACCCACCAACAGTGTAAGGAGACCTGAAAGTGGCACATGGCAGAGTGTGGCGATGAAGACAGCAGCAATGGGAGGCCGTACAAGGACCCATGACACACTCTGGACCTGGCAGCAGCAAGAGGAGGCGGTACAGGGGCCCATGGCAGAGTGGCGAAGCGTAAGCAGCTTAAATTGAAGGCCATACAGAGGCCTATGTTAAAAATAATAACATGTTTGGGGCATGATTCATGGCGGATTTAGTCAGTTGTGTCAGGAACTGGTGGTTTGAAAATCCAGACTAATCCACGCCTGATTCATTTTCACAAACGTGAGTCTCTCCACACTTTGGGTGGACAGTCGTGTCCTCCGCGGAGTTACATTACCTTCTGCCGCACTAAACACGCGCTCCGATGCCACGCTACTGGCCGGGCATGACAGCCTTTCAAGGGCAAATTCAGCTAGTTGGGGCCAAAGGTCAAGTTTCGTTGCCCAGTAGTCAAGGGGATTGTCTACCTCGGTTGGCAGGGTGCTGTCCAAGTAGGCCCGAGCCTGTTGAGGTCCTGCTCCAGGTCCACCTGATGCTGCTGCGGCTGGTTAGTAGTTTCCTCACTGCGCTGGTGAAGAAAGCTACTCATCATCGACTGCAGACTGAGGCAGCCGCTGCTGGTGGAGCTGCCACTGCTCCTACCACCCCACCCCTCCCCTGCTGCCATGGCAGCGGAACGCGAGCGCACAGGGCCCACAGTGTCTGAGGATGGACGTTGGCGCAGAAAGGCAGAGACCAACTGACTACATAGGTGGTTTTTATAGTACGTTATTTTGGCCTCCCTCTCAGCAGGTGTGAAAAAGGCCACCATTTTTGAACGGTAGCGAGGGTCCAACAAGGTGGACAGCCAAAAGTCATCCCTCTGTCTGATGGTTATTATTCGGCTGTCGCTACGCAAGCAACTGAGCATGCTATGGGCCATTTGTGCCAAGGAATGCGAGGACTCCCTGCCTCCATCTCCACAGCATACTGCCACGGTGCGTCTGGGTCCTCTGTCTCCTCCTCCTCCTCTACCAGATGCTCCTGCTCCTCCACTCCTGTCCGCTGAGTGGAAAAACCACCCATTTTCACTCAATAATTCCTGAGCACCAATGTCCTCCTCTACCTCCTCCTCTTCTTCCTGTCCTGCCCCCACAGGGGTCATGTGGCATTGAGATCTGTGCGCCACGTCTACCGCACCCTGACCAGCCATTGTTAACAGCATTTGTTCCAGGACGTGCAACAGAGGAATGACGTCGTTCATCCCATAGTCCTGCCGACTCACGAATAGCGTGGCCTCCTCAAAGGGCCTGAGCAAGCGGCAGGTGTCACGCATGAGCTGCCAATGGCTGACATCTAAGTTACACAGGGGAGTACCTTTATCCGCTTGTAACATCAGGAAAATCGGTGATGGCCTTTCGCTGTTCGTAAAGGCGGTCTAACATATGTAGGGTTGAATTCCACCTTGTTGCAACGTCGCAGATCAGGCGATGCTGTGGAATTCCGTTCTGCCGCTACAGCTCAAGGAGGGTGTGCTTTGTGGTGTAGGAATGGCTGAAATGCATGCAAAGTTTACGTGACATTTTAAGGATGTCTTGCAGCGGGATGGTGGATTTTAGGAACCGCTTGACAACCAGATTGAACACGTGAGCGCATGGCATGGCACAACCTTCCTTGACGCAGAGCAGACACCATGTTCTTTCCGTTGTCGGTCAACATGGTTCCGATTTTCAGTTTGCACGGAGACAGCCATCTGTCGATTTCTCTGTTCATTACACTCAGAAGTTCCTCCCCTGTGTGACTACGTTCGCCAAGGCATACCAGGTGCAGCACAGCGTGACACCGTTGCGCCCTGCACATGTGATATGCCGGTCGGGTAATGGGACTTGGCACGGGGGTGGCGGCTGAGGACACAACGGAAGAAGAGGTGGTAGAGGCGGACATCTTTGCTGGACCAAGGACGTGCAAACGTGGAGGCAAAAGCGGCGTGACCTGTCCAAGTTGCTGGTGCGGCTGTGCCGGCACCACGTTCACCCAGTGGGCCGTAAATGACATGTATTGTCCCTGACCGTAGTTACAGCTCCACACGTCGGCGCTGCCGTGCACTTTGGCAGAGACCGACATGCTCAAAGACTGGCCCACCATCTCTTCTACATGTGAATGCAGGGCTGGCACTGCCTTTTTGGCGAAGAAATGCCGGCTTGGCACTCTCCACCGTGGCTCGGCACAAGCCATCATTTCTCGGAAAGGTGCTGAGTCCACCACTTGGAAAGGGAGGGACTGCAGCACCAGCAACTTGGACAGGAGGACGTTCAGCTTTTGCACCATCGGGTGCGTGCTCGCAAACTGTTGTCTCTTGGAAACGGATTCCAAGAAAGACTGCTGACGGAATCCGTGAAGAGGAGTAGCAGCAGAAGGAGCATCTGAACAAGCGAGCGACAACTCCCCTCAGCAGAGGTGTTGGAGCCTTGACTGGCTGATAGAGGGCGATTGACGTCGGGTGACGGAGCAAGTAACGGAGCGGGTGATGGAGCGGGGGCTGGGGCAGGCAGAACCACCGTATCTTTATCACGGTTTTCCCAGGCCACCAAATGGCGACGCTGCATATGCTGACGCAACGCTGTAGTCCCAACATGGGCCCCCTGGCCACGCTTGACTTTCTGGCCACATAGTCGACATACGGCTACGTTTACTTCCTCGGGCGGCTTGACGAAAAATTGCCACACCGCCGAGTAGGAAACTTTGCCCCCGCTACTCCTCACTGGCTGACTGCTACTTCCTCCGTGCACACCGGCACCACTACTGGCCGTGGTGGTAGGCTGCAGTGGAGCTGGTGCTCTACTCCGTGGCCGTTTGCCTCCACTGACACTGCTGCGACCCTGCTGCCTCCTGGGCAACCCACCGACTGTTTTGCTCGCTGGCAAGCTGGCACCCTCTTCTCCTGATGATGCGGAAGCAATAGCCTGATGACGACGAAGGCTGCCAAGTGCGATCAGCCTCATCATCATCATCATCAATTAGGGTCTCCGCGTCACTACTAGCCCCCTCGGCTGCGTGTGGGTCAGGAGACAGACCTGTCTCTAGACCGGCTACCGAGCCACTCTCCTCGCCAGTACTTCTTCGCCTGGCTGCTGAAGAGGCGGATGTCTCCCCCCGTTCCTGACCGCCCTCTGTTAGCTCTTCCTCACTGTACAGTGGGGCTGAGCCCACAGCATGCGATACTTCGCTTGGTGAGGGAACACCAAAGGACAGGGGCAGGTAGAGGACATGTGATTTCAGTGGGCTTGCTCCCGGGCCATGCCAACTAACGGTTGTGTCTGACGTACCCACCGACCGTTGGCTGTAGGTGTCAGAGGTGACCTGGGAAGAGGAAGACGACCGAGTCAACCAATCGATGACGGCAGGGTTGTCGGAGACACGACCGCTGGATGACACCAGGAGCACTGGCCTCTGGCTGCGACTAGTGCTGCCTCGACCCCTTCCTCTGCTGCCACGTCTGCTTGCTCCTGAAACATTGCCTCCTCTGCGTGTTGTCTGACATACTCTTTAATTCAATAAGCACCCCAAACATAAAACAGGATTTAACTCTTTGAACGTACAATAGTGGTTGTGAAGCAGAAAGTAACGATTCTGTGTCCCCGAGTAACAATTCTGTGTCCCCGAGTAACAATTCTGTGTCCCCGAGTAACAATTCTGTGTCCCCGAGTAACAATTCTGTGGCCCTAAAGTCTCTGTGGCCCTAACTCTGTCCCTAATACAGACAGGTCTGTCCCTCTTGAATGACCGGAGGCTAATGGAGAATTCTAAGATGGCCGCGATTTATAGCTCCACCATTACACAGTGCTGGCTGGCTGGCTGCTGATTGGCTAATGCGATCACATGTCATGAATGAATGCATTATGGGTCAGCGCGCCTTGTCTGCGCGCCTTCCCAGAGATCCCCGCTCCGTCGCCACACATGTCACCGCCCGCCATTTTTGGGAAAATTAGATTCGTGCATCCGAAGTTTGCCAATTTTCGGATTCGGCGCGAATCGAATTTTTCCTAATCTTCGAAACGAATTCCACTTCGTCATGTTCGATTCGCTCATCTCTAGCGGTGATCAACAGCTTACAGTGGAACTGTGATAGTGCGACAACCAATCTGGCGCTGACACTAGCTGGGAGGGACACTAATTGACTAAATGGCAACTTTGGATAGGCGCAACCTGGATGTGAATTTGAAGTTGCATCAAAGTCACACAAAACAGAATTTGTCACCCCTACTTTTATACATTCATACCTTCCAAAAAAAAAACAAAAAAAAAAACGCGAGTATGGCCCGCATTGTAGATGTGAATCTTTATGCATTTTTGTACGTACGTGTCCAGGCGCCTAAAAATTCTTCTAGCTTTTTTTGAGGAGTGTTGCATGCATGCGTACATGCATAAAATACCGACCAACAATGCAGATTTTTTTTCTCCTAATGATCTATATGCAGTGTTAGTAATTCCGGTGTGTACAGGCCCATTTAAAGACAATGGGCTGCAATTAGATTAATACAGAAAATGCTCAGAATGCGGCATCCATGTTCTAGAGCCGGAAGTCAGGCTACTGTCAGGGCGGCGGGTGACCCTGAAACTTGAGCATGTAGATGCAGCAGCGCTCACTTTTTTTTCATGAAAGCGCTTTAAAATAATTTATACGCCGACCCTCGGGCAAGATGTGCACCAGCAACATGGGTTTCCCCACTATCCTCCCAGCATGGGGGGGGGGGGGGGGGGGGGGTGTAATAATTATCAAAGTTCAGGTAAAGCTGCCTCAATGATAGTAAAGAAAAGCTACCAGCCTACCCTCCAATAATCCTCCTCAGTGACAGGTTCTCTTCATTCCCTGTCTCTCCTCCCCCCTTCCAATAATCAATAAAGCTCTTCAGCGGCAGGTTCTTTTCACTCCCAGCCTCCCCCAACCCAATCAGTATCTGATCCCTGACTTCCAACCTGATCGCCAGATCCCCCACTGCAGATCCCAGGCTGTTTACTGCATCCTAGCAACG